ATCGCAGTGTTTGTTATGAGGGGTGAACTTGTGACACACGGGATCATCGGATATCTTTAAAATCTTGTGTGTCGACATCGATATCATTCGAATTTTAGTCTTGACAGCTTGACACTTTTGACTCTGCTTAGTAGTATTAAGACTACAAACGAGTTCTGTTTACACAGAGGAAAACACTTGAATCTTTTTTCTGTACATAAAGATTACTTCATACTTGCAGTTCTTCAGTGAATAAGGCGTACGGTACAAATAAAAGTGGTTGATTTTCTGTCATTTAGAATATTTCTCTGTACTACTGTATGGTGCCGTAGATCGAGGTAGTGCATGTATAGTTAGTTCTGTGCTGGTGTAAAATATATTTATTATTCTGATGTAACGTAGGCTGTTTCATGATGTCACGTCTGTCCCTGGTCTCAAAATAAAAGTGATCTAAAATCGGTTTCTGTCTGGTCCCTTTTTTATTAGTTATTGAAGCCTTGTCTACCTACGACTGTGTTAAGAACTGCTGACTTGGCTTTAAAGAAGGTGAGATCACAGTGTTGATGGACCTTACTGGTGTAGCAGCAGACAGAACACCTGCTCTCTGTCTGACTGTGTCGACTCAGGTGTGTGTGTGTGTGCGTATGTAGCCTGAGGCTGAGGTGAGATGTGACGGTTCGAGGAAACAGACTTCACACACTTCACTTCTCCTCACATGATTTCTCTGAATCAGCAACTTCAAGGAGCTCGACTTGTCTGCACTCGACATTGACGAAGCTCTGTGATTAGAGATGATTTTTTTTGTTGTTTTTTTCTACGTGAAAATATAATTGGTAGCACTTTACGTCCTCACCGTGGGGAGGTGGCCTGGTAGATGACCATGTATGGGGTGTTAGGGAGGGGTAGCAAAGCCTTCATGCAGGAGGTGATGAAGAGAGGAAAGGATGAAGTGGAAAGGAGAGAGAGACAATTATAATATAGAATGAATCAGTTGTACATGGTCCAACTTTTGAAGCTAACATTATTGACACATACTTTCATTCAACAATGACTGTGTGTGTGTTCATATTTCTGGGATAACCTTTAATTGCTATGTAGCTAACTTTAGCTTCCTCAGCTAGCCTTTTGAAATGGGTGCTATCATTTCCAGCCATCTCTGCTCTGTTTTCAACATTCTCTTACAATTTTTTTTTTTACTTGGCACATGCAGTATCTGTTATCAACACAGTAATATTAAACTACTGTACCTTTTTACATTGGTGTATCTCTGTTCAACTACTTCCTGCTATTTTGTTCTAACATTTAACTTTCTTTTGACACAGCATTTTTGGCTGAGACTTTTGACTTTAGACTTTTCTGCTATATTTTACTCATCTTTTAACTAATAATTCTAAATTTGTTTTATATATTTTTATATTTTCTATAGCTGCTCTGTTCTGGCTAACTGGTTAGAATCCATTGGCCAAATTATAGATGATAATTCTTTGATAAAATATACTTACTTTACTGAACTATGTTCACATATATGGTGCTAACTTTTTTACATTTAAATTGGACTAGTTTCAGATTGTCTAACCTCATCTTCACCATTTTTTGATAACTTCTATTGGCAAAGTATATATGTATATAAATATTAATAATTACTAAATAAATGTAAGTTTTCAGCTATTTCAGGGCCATTGGCCATGAGCTCATGTTCACTTTTCTGACCACAGCACACGCCTTTTTGTACATGCACACACATTCAGCTATTTCAGGGCCATTTTCAGGGCCACTTTTCTGACCACGGCACACGCCTTTTTGTACATGCACACACACGTATTCTGTCCACCTTAAATACAGTAACACACGATGACACACTTACACACAAAGGAGTCTTGTCAGGATCCTTGAATTTCCACTATTCTTAACACATTTTAACCTTACTTCAACCAGAGCTTTAGAAATGTATCATTATATCTGTGTTTCCTTGTGAAAATATTAGCCGTGAAAAATGAATAGTTCATAAATAGAAAAAAGGGAACAAAAGGAAGGAACACCCACATGGTTCCACCCAGACGCCGTGATGTTTATTCTCCAAACAATCACATAACGTCCAGTCACCCGTCATTTTATCTGCACATTCTTTCCATTGGGATTTACAGTTCCTCAGAGGTCTCAGCACATCAGCTGATATGAAAAGGAAACCTTCTGTTCTCACTGACCCGGGACACAGGAACAGTTCTCCTCATCATCCATAGATGAAGTTACTGTTTTAACTCAGAACAAAAGTTCAGGGTGGAGAGAAATACATCTATTTGATGAAGTTACTTTCTCTTCTGCTTCATGTCCTGTCAATCAACATGTGATGTGATGTCACAATATGTAGAATTTCTCAGAACACTGGTGTTCAGTCTTTACTCCGTCTGCTGACAACATGTCAGTTAGTGACTGATTTATCAGCTGGTATCACTGTGAGATGTTTGCACACGGTGGTATGATGGTAGCAGTAACTTTCTGAGGTCACATGTCACATGATCCAGTGTGTGTGTGTGTGTGTGTGTGTGTTTGTTCCTGAATTCATAGTAGTGATGTTTGAAAAATAATTTGAGCCAAAGAGTCCTGGAGAATGAGAGTTGTTGCCTGTATTTGTGTGCTCGTGTGTGTGTGTGTGTGTGTGTGTGTGTGCTCGTGTGTGTGTGTGCGTGTTTGCCATGGTGACGACAGAAGTGCAGGTCCAGGCAGGGTCGATTTGTGACGTTGCGTGTAAGGGGTGTATCCTTAACTCCTGCCCATATCATTCACTCACACTCACACAGCCATCCACTCACTGAGACACAGTCGAACAGGAAACAAGAACAAAAGCACCAGGTAAGACTCATGTATCTTTTATAACACCATTTTTGAGTGTTTCCTTTACCCAGCACTTTCTTTTATTTTCTACTCTATCTGAAGCAAATTCTTCTCTGCTCCAAACTCACCTGCTACTCCGCTGTTAATCATTTGCTCTTACTACATTCTCAACATTCCCCTGTTCCATCAATAACTTTTCCCTCTACATGAACTTGAATGAATCATTGTCAGACTTGATCGTGGAATGTTCAGAAATGTAAGATGTCGTCAAACCTGAACTATTTTTTTTACCCTGTTTTTAGATTTCCACCTGTACTGTATGTGTGATCTTAGAGAGCTACAGTGTGTCGGAGGAAAATTAAATATCACATGGTAGTTGATAAACATTTGCATTTATTTCCTGTTGAAACGTGAGCTAACAGAAGGCTTTATTCTGAGCTGAGCTTCATAGACATATAATATGGAAAACTAACCCTCATATAGTTTTTTCCTCACTTGCCTTATGTGGGAGTTGAACAGTGTTATGACCACTTTATTAAAGGGAAGTTCTCAGCATTGCTCATAAACCATGTGTATACTGAATTTCACCTCAAGGAAGCATTTTATTAAAACTAGTATATAACGTGTTGGTTGTGGATAAAAGTAAAATAAAATCAACTTACTCTTAAAGTTAAAGATGTTTTTTGTACATTTCTAGTTGATAAAACCCATGAAGTGTTTTTTTTTTATTTTAATGTTTGAAGAAGTCCTAGCGAGAGGCTGGTTCCGTACAGGTGTAAGGAGACACCTGCTGTGACATCACCACTGCCCTCACTCACCACGCACCACCCAGTTTATTCTCATATTACATTGATATTAATGAAACGTATCCTGTTCTTGGAACTTCCTTTTTTGTGTTACATTACACTTTGTCACAGTTTAATAGTTCTGTGAACACAAATCTCTGAGGTACATTCATGCTGTAAAAATAGGTCAGTTCTGGTCTTTGTAGTTATTATTATTTTTTAATATATTTCTTTATGGAAGGTCAAATAATTTAGCATTCTAGCGAGAATTAAAAAAAATTTAATTAAAAAGATGTGCTCTGTATCTAAGTACTATGTTTGAAAATTGCTTCAACATTTTTATTAATATTTGAGTTGTTTTTTTTAATGAGCCATCATACCCATATTGCTACATTTGAGGTCAAAGTGTACACACTGAGCACCAGACATGGAGATGTTGTTGAATTTGGCAGCTGTTCAGCAGCTGAAATGTTAAACAGAGGTCAAAGTCTGATCTTTTTGTGTTCAGCTGTCAGTACATCATGTTTCATCTCTGACAACCAGATATCATCATAACTCACAGAGGCAGGAATCACATGATGCACTCTTTTAGCTAAGGTGATTGGTGAATGATAAGAACAGACGTGCAGGAATGAGCAACAACGTTGAAGAGAGTGTTATGTAATGAAATGAACCCAATCTCACTTCTACTCCTAGAACGAGCGCAGCAGAAGAAACAGCAGGTGAACGACACGACAACAAGACAGACGGGAAAACAAAATGACAATCGGCAGGAACTCCAGAAAAAGCTCCACCAGAAGCTCTATCCGAGCTCCAAAGTTTCTGGATAAGTCCAGTGGCTTCTACGGCCGCCTCGATGAGCCTGAAACCACCGCCGGGATGGAAGAGATGTTGGTGAACGAGGAAGAGAGAACAAATGGAACGGGTGACATAAGTGTGGTGCAGAACTGTGGGGCAGATGTGAAGGAAGAACCTGAGATGTTTGACTTCAACGAGGGGTTGATGGAGGATGATGATGAGATCCTCCTGCGTAGGAAACCCAGCCGCCGCAGCAGTCGGTGGAGGAGGAGCAGCAGGAGAAAGCAGAAGGACGAGAAGGTCGAGGAGAACAAGAGGCCAAGCCTGGGCACAGACACTCAGGACCTGGAGGCCACCAGGGTGAGGGTGGAGGTGGAGGTGGAGAGAATGAAGAGGATGGAGTTAGTTAAGGAGATGTCTGGGAAAGGAAAGGAGTCGGCACTCGTTCACTTCCCTGTACGGGAGGATCAGGACGACCAGGTCCTGATCAGAGACAAGACGAGAGCAGACGACGAAGAGGAGGAGGTGAAGAAGATGAAGAAAGAGCAGGAGCAAGGATTGAAGGCAGTGAAGAAAGTCACTGTGAACAATTATCGTAAGGTGAGAGAAAAAAAAAGACCTGACGTTTTTTTTAAGGATTTGGGCAATATTAATTAATTTTTTTGGTTATTTCGTCTAAATTGTCGAGCAATTATTGCAAACTTTATCGAAATATGCTAAATCCTGAGCTAAATATGTTGGCCTTTTTATTACCATTAAGCTATATTTATGCTAATTTGGTCCAGTTTGTGTTTTACCTAAGATTTGGCCAACTTTATTCAACTTAAGAAATTGTTACCAAACTCTCTGCAATCATTTGCTGAAAGTTAGCTTAGAATTAGTTTAAGCCAACTCGTGTTAATCTGTAATTAACAGACATACCCTGTATATCCTAAGTGAAAAAGGTTTTTGTTTGCCTGCAGAATAAGAGTTAGACATTTTTTCACAGAATTTGAAAAAAAGCAAAGGCAGACTGTTTTCAAAACCAAAAAAAAAACCAAAACAAATCTAGGTGCGATTTTGCACTGCTAGTTTCCGACTGTGACATCTAGGCATTTTCATCATATTGCGAAACACCGTGCCTGCATCTGATATTTACATAAATTCCATGTTAAGCCTCACCTCCCTGGTTAAATGTTAATCCTCTGTAGCTTACATAATCACTTCATTAGAGGTCGTGGAACACGAGGGTAAAGTCCGACCACGACATCGTTCAAACACCGGTCAGTTTATTACCCTGGAAAAGATAACGTCACCTTAATTACAGAGGGTTAAAGTACAGCAGCCGTTGGTGCAGGTCACCAACATATTAACTGCCGTCTATATATAGGATTTTCCTTGACTTGATTTGAACGAGTTACTAATTCAACTGAAAGAGGATTTTCCCTCACTGTTCACAAATAACTGAACGACAGTGACTGTGTGTAAACCTGAAGCTGTCTTCATCTTCATAGAACAATCTGATTTACAGGTTCATGTGTCGCCCCCCCCCCACACCCACCCACACACGCAGAGGTGACATTCCTTTAGCTCCTGTTTTTCCTACTCTGATCACTGGAACGAAGTATGGCAGTGGTGACCCCACCTTCTAAACCCACACAACAAACATTCCTTTGCTGTTAACCAATCAGCTCCACCTTCAGGTCTGCCCTCCTGTCAGATAAGGGGACAATCAGTGTCTGTGCAGAGTTTTTTTTTTGTAGGACAGATACAAACAAACAAACACAAAAATCTGTCGATTAAAAATGAAAATAAGAATGATCATTAAACCCAAGTCATTGTAATGAGGGGAAATAAAACTCATCATGTCAAACCAGTTCTGAGCAAGTACTTGTTTTCACAGGAAATGCCAACATATTTCCCCTTTAGAAAGCAGCCACACAATAAACCACTGCATTTTGTCAAAGTTTTGAACATAAAAAATATGAGAAAGAGAAATATGATTTTAAATGTTTAGCTGCTTAAACAGTTGTATTGTATTTTTATGTTGTTTTTTGTGTTTTGGTGGTTTTTACCAACCCGCTAACCTTCACCCTCTTTTTTTCCATCCCATCAGGCCTTGGACCGAGCCTTCCGTCGTGGCTGGGAGGCTTTCATCACCAACCTGTACAGTGTCACACTGACACCTGTGACATCATCACCACCACTTTCACCGTCTCTAAAGAAGAAGCAACAACACAACGTTGTACTAGCCGACCTCAGATAGAGTTCTGACTCAACAACAGGGATTGTTTTCTAATAATTACATTCTTTGAATCAGAACTGCTTGAATCTGTGACATCTTCTTTGGCCTGAAGACTTCAATGGCACTTTAATGGTCATTTAATTATCTGCCTGTGTCCTACATTAGATCTCAGGGATAGTAATTATTTATATGAGTTATTGAGTCTTAATTACTCACAGTTACATGTACTGCCTCTTATCGTGATGGTGGAGAAAAGCACAGTTTTATTGTCAAAGCCAGAGTTGTTGATTTTACATTGAAGTCCAGGGCACTGGTTGTTGTTATGGTCCAATATCTTTATGCGACTGAGTTCAACTAACTGTGGTTTCAGTCGACGTCTTAACGTCTCAGCTCTGGACACCCAGTCCACGACTAAGAGCTCGGAGAACCAATTGATCCCTTCTTCCTTTAATTCTTACACAATGAAACCAGTGGTGTTGAAGTGTGAGCTGAAGGAAGAGAACCTTTTCTACAGTAGCAATGACTGAACATTTTTATACAGCAAAAACTGCATCTTAGTGTCAATGGTGTTCAATTGCACTAACAGGTGAAATGAATCCACAGAGGGATTCATTTCAAAAATGGTAAAAGTGACTTCCTCTTACAGGTGTCATGTCTGTGTGGACTACACACCGCCAGCATGGGTTACAAAGTCTATATGGGAAAAGAGTGTGGGCCACATTTGGTTATCACTTTACATCTTTTTGAATTCTTTTATTTATTTATTTTCACATGTGTCCATGTTTGTGTGCACACTAAGAATTTTACTCATTTTCATTGCCGTGAGTGTTCCAATGAAGGTGGTTTTCCCTGAAGGAACAAAGTTTTTGAGAGAAAAAGGAAATATTTACCGGTTTGATTGCTAGCAACAACATTTACTACCTTTACAATTGTGTACATTTAAACTGCGGTACTTTACATGTAGCATAGCGTTTAGTAAATATATTGATACATTTTATATTAAAAGTGCCTTTCAAAGCACCCAAAGACACTTGGGTATGACAAGAATGACTAACTGTAGCTAAATGAAATTGTTTCCATTATTAGTGTTAACTTTCTCCTGCCCACTATGTGTCTAATGTGATCCAATGTTTATTTGATTGTAATAATTGTATAACTTGCTCTTTAAATTGTGACAGAAACACTTTTCTAAGAGTAAATAAAGACTGAATTGTTTCTACTAGTTGTATTTGTCATTTCTAGTCATAGATTCTGGGGACTATGAACTGATCAGTCAGCATTCTGAACTCTGAACTAAAATGACTTTTATGGTTGGGCACGAACAGTAGAAATGCATTTATAAGGAAGTCTGGAATAACACTCACAGATCACATGCCAATGCGACATGTGAGGAGTAGTATTTATCCGCCACATTTCAATGTGACTTTGAATCATCAGACGTTAAATCACTATGCTGTATTACGTTACAATACAGAATTCATTCCTCTCTGGGCTGTTACTGACTAGTGCTTTTGCACAGATACTTACAGTTACTCTTAAATATTATATCTCTGTTATATTATATGTGTCATTGTCAGATGTTAACCTAAAGTTACTAGGGTACGAATGCTGGTGTGACGCTTTCCCACATAACAAAAGGGTAATTATCAGACACCGAAATTCAAAATCCATACAGGAGGACCTGGTCACCGTCAATAAATCGTGGGTCAAAGAGTATGCTTGTCTGGGACAATGAGTGACGTCCTTTGATTCGACAAGGGCAAAAGTTTTTGTGATTTTTTTGGTTGTGCCTTTATTTGGCTTATATACACTGCTAGCCTACGAGTAATATGACATAAGTCATGACATCCTAGAGTCCCCGCTCACGGCAATCACGTCATATGATGAGGACGCCGGAAAAGGAAACAAAGTGAGGTTTTATTTCGTATAGCGCACTTAAACCTGAGTGACCACGCTATGCTGCCATCTTATGGTAAATACAATACAGTATGTTTTAATGAAATATTTTCGTATACATTATTTTAATTATTTTATTTATACTTGTCTTAAAAAAACAGAACAAGCAGTGAGTCATCGAAATAAAAAAATGAAAACAATTAATGTTTCTTCCTAAAAAGTTGTATGCCCCGGAACGGTTCTTCCCGCTGTTATAAGTAGGCGGAGTCTTGTCGAACATAAAAGGCAGACGGACCCGCTTCCTCTTCCACTTTCTCCATTCCTTTGGCAAGGTAAGCACTTACTGATTTTTCATCTCCCAACGTTTTTACATTTCATAGATTTAGCAGTCGTTATGTAATTGTATTGAATGTGTTTTTTCTATGAAGCGTTTTACTCTAGGTAACATTTGAATGCACATTTTTATAAAAAAGTGTTCATTGGGGTGCGACAGCCACTTAGGTTCAGTAACCGCAAACGTTAGAGTCAATCCTCAACCATCTGACTTTAAAAACGTTCCACGTTGACTTATAAACATAATTAATGTAAGTGATAACCTCTTTTGTAACTTTTGCATGTTTCATTTTTAATTTTTAAACGCGAATTCGTGTTAGTTTCTGTAGTAAGGGCCGCTGCTCGTTTGTGCATTTGTGTCTCTGTATGATGATAATTTTCACAGACCTGTACTGAATGACAGTGATTGCACATTAATTTTCTGATTCGAGACACATAAAAGGTGCACCGTGTTTTCAGATCGACGGTCTGAACGCGTTGAACGCGGCGGTCACGTGTTGGCCGGCCATTGCTCGTGCGCTTTGCAACGTGCTAATCTGCAAAACTTTTCTTGTATTTCAGATGGATAAGGTTCAAAGTCACTCAACTTCAAATGTAAGTATATTCCTCAGATACTAAGTATTTTTATATGAATATTTTAAGTATTTTTTTATATGCATCCTAATGCTTATGCTAGGCCGCTGGGATCTAGATTTAAGTAGGTGTGCAGCTTTGTCTTTATGTTATGTTAATGGAGCTTAATATACATAGGAGCGCCTCATGCTACAGTGATGCCCTTTTTGAACTCTCTCACTGAATTATGTTGAGGATAACTAAACTTCAACCTACTGAGTAGCATGAGTCTGCTGTTCACATCTGCACATGTGAAACTTCTTTTGGATTTATGAAATGTTCATGTTTTTCCCAAATTGCAGGCAAGCGGAATGCAAGGCCATGGCAGAACTCCAGACTCATGGGGTAAGTACAACAGTCCTCATTCATTTTTCACAGATGAACCCTTTGCTTTGTTTGGCTGAAGAGCTCTGTGCTGCAGTGATGATTTTAAACTCTCTCTTACTGAATCAGCTTTTGAAGAAACTTCCTTTACCAGATTCTGAGTAGCACCTGAGCTCAGTATTAATTGCTAACTCTTTGATATATTAATGTAACGGTGTCATTTTCATTCATGGTTAAAATGCCTGATGTTTGAAGTCCATAGTAAACGTTTCTGCTTTGTACAGATCTGTGTATTAAATCTCTTGTTTATTTTAGGTGGAGCTACTGACTTTACCTTCAGAAAGTGGCAGAATAGCACAGACAGTGGTGAGTGGATGGAATTGCTGTAATCATGGTGGTTTGGCTGTTGACATGATGATTCAACATAAAAGACAAGCATATGCCTGATTCATGTGATGTCACCTTTAATCTGATACACCTTAAAGTAGTTTTACTGGAAACAATGGTAACTTAAGGTGTGGTAACTTAGTGTGTTCTTACTTTTCAGGAGTTGATAGTGAAGATTAGAAAGAAGACTGCATTGTTTCAGCATGTAAGTATGAGCATTTGGTATTAAGTATTGAATAAACTACCAACCCTGAGTTGTTCATATTTGACCGTTTGAAATGATGACATGGGTTAATACCCAATACACACCTGGACGACAAGTGTCACATGGCAATCTGTCACCAAAGCACTGATCAAACCTATCCTGTCTGGTCTTAAAGTAAAAGATTGTATGACTTCTGGTCTAAATGTTTTTCTTCTTACAGGTCCCAGTTTGAGTGGTTACCAGAAGGGGTTTACTGAAGTCTAAAGGTACATATATTAACTTTAACTAACACCATGCAGTTCCGATGATGATGATACTTAGCTCACTTTGAACCGATGTGAAAAGACACGAACTTCTGAGCAACTGCATTTGTTTCTAAAGCTTTGGAATTTTAGAGTTGGCAGTTTTTCTATTTTTATAATTTATAGGTTTCATTGCAGACTTTATTCACAACCCCTTTTTTTTTTTTTTTTTTTTAAGGTTTCATTGCAGGCTTTATTCACAACCCCTTTTCTTTTCTTCTTCTTCACACAACAGTGGCTGTGACTGACTACCTCAACAGGACTTACTGTGAAGCATGTTGTCCGAAGGTGAGGTGTTTCTATATTTCTGTCATTGACTTTCACAACCAGACTCTAATGATGAGTTACTTCTGGAATCTCGTTCGTCTGAACAGCTGTTGATAAATTTTCATATCTGATGTCTGTCGTAAAGATGTTTTGAAAAATTATGCCTTGGACAATTTGACTAATTTTTTTTTTTCTCCCCACAACAGATTGTGGCCATCCTTGGAATGACATCAAGGTAAATATAGATTCATGATAATTGCAATGTCCATTAGGAAGCTTGATGAAATTTCGCAAACAGTTCACATATACAAATGTGAAACACTTGTAAGGTGTTCACAAAGCTCCTTTCCCATATGATGAAACCCGCACATGTCTTACACCTTGTGCTGATGCCAGACCTGAAAAGGTGAACCCACTGGTGTTGCCTTGGTAATAAGGGGAGGACTTTGTTGGGGTTACCAACAGTCTGAAGGGAAACATAAGATTCACTGCAACAATACAAATACTTAGCATGTTAAACCTTTTAATTTTTTATTTTTTTAAATCTACCTTTCTTTAGTAATGACTTAATGGACCTTTGAAGATGTCTGAAAGATCATCCCAAAAATCCAAGTGTCCTAGATGGTAAATATTCTGTTCTTTCTGTGTATCTATTGCATTAAAGTGATGAATGTCTTATTACCGCCCCAGTCTGAAAATTCTTGACTGATTGGTATCCCCTCTGATTTTGTTTTTAGTTAATAACTCAATGTTGATAGATTTCTTCCTTGACTAATATGGGTGGTCTTTTGCAGGTGTGGTTCCTTCAGCATCAGGTGCAGTGTCTGAAGCTGGTAAGTGATTTGGTCTATTGGATTTTATTTTTTAAATCATCTAACTATGAACATTTTACCCTGAAATCTGGACTTGGGCAAGTGACTGCAGAACAATAAAACCCCTACAAAAGTTTAACTTTAAATACTCAATTTAACTGATTAACTCCATATTCCCAAATACACCAATTAACTAGGCACTTGTAGGTGAAATCTCTCTGCCCTAAATCTCTGTACTATGTCTAGTGTTAAGCAACTCTGAGGAGGAAGTGTAGTAGACCATCTGACCCTTTCATTGAAGTGATGAGTGTTTTATTACCGCCCCAGTCTGAGAATTCATGACTGATTGGTATCCCCTCTGATCACTAGTGAATAGAATATTGATGTTTAAGAGCTCCTAACTTTCCTCCAGTACTAATGTTTTGTCCTACTTTGCAGGGAGAAGAAATCATTGGTGCCACAGCAGCTGGAGGGCCATTTGACTTCAGGTAAAGAGTTTGTATGTACTGAAACTGTAGTACAACCAATGGACTGACATGATGAGGTGTTTTTTACCGCCCCAGTCTGAGAATTCATGACTGATTGGTATCCCCTCTGATCACTAGTGAATAGAATATTGATGTTTAAGAGCTCCTAACTTTCCTCCAGTACTAATATCTTGTCCTACTTTGCAGGAAGCAGAAATCATTGGTGGATTCCAGCAGCTGGAGGGCCATTTGACTTCAGGTAAAGAGTTTGTATGTACTGAAACTGTAGTACAACCAATGGACTGACATGATGAGGTGTTTTTTACCGCCCCAGTCTGAGAATTCATGACTGATTGGTATCCCCTCTGATCAAATTGCAAAAGTAAAACTTGCAGTCAAACCAGAGTTTCTGTTTTAAGTAACTTTTTTTTTTTTTTTTTTTTTTTCCCCCTTTTCTTCTAGAATTGCTGTTATTGGCTTGGAATCTGCAATCAACACTTGTTTGTATTGTTTGCTAAATGGATCATCACTTGAATAAAGCTTTGTAACTGTAAACTGGTTTATGTTGTGGTGATCTTGGTGTATGTGGGTTTAGTCTAAATTTAAAATTTACCTAAGGTTCATGATAATTAAGTTAGCAATTCAACATAGAACTCAAAAGGATTGAATGCTTTTGGCTAGGTTTTTAATTGATATTTAGATTCAAGTAACTTCTGACCTGCACTATTTTATTGGGGCAGTGGTAGCTTAGTGGTTAAGGAAGCGATTTGAAGTTTTGTAAATGTGTTGAATGTTTACAAAAGCTGTGAAGTTACTGCTGAGGTGCTCTGAGCCTAGCACTGTCTCCACTCACTGCTCACTGGGTGTTTAATGCTACCCCCTGCTCACATTGGTGATGGCTTAAAAGCAGAGGTCACATTCAATTGTGTGCAGTGATGTGCCTTGTCACAATAAGGAATATTTCACTTTATTCTACACCATATGGGTCAAACCAAAGGCCAGGGGGCCAAATGTGGCCCGCCAAGCTGTCTTGTGTTGCCTGAGGGAGCTTAAAAAGCAGTGGAGTTTCTTAACCTATGAAATAAATGTTTCTTACACAACAATGAACAATATTTGTAGCTTGAATAAATAATCAATTGCAGAAACATGTATTTGTGCGTTATGGAGTTGTTGCATCTGTACCAGTTGTCACCGACCTTTTGTTCTAAGGACTAGTCAGCCAGTGCCACCTGTTACTATTGACGAATAGAAAGGTACTGAGCATTGAAAGATCAGTAAATTTTCAAAATAAAACATCTTTTATACTCTATTCTGTTTATATCAGAGTCTGAATGACCTATTATTTTAAAATATTGCCAGATTATCTTTAAAGTAAACGGATATGACTGGATTTTCTTTGAATGAAGTAAATTAGTAAAAGTGACGTTCTTTTTTTTTTCAATATCCCACTGTAGCATGGTACCAAATGACCTATGGACTGGTACTGGATGTGGACCGGGGGGTGGGGACCCCTGATCTGTACAGACTTCCATTTACAACTGACCCTTCACGGGAACCGTGTTGATGTGGCCCCTGTTCTATACTATTGATTGTGTACTTTGTAAGTACGTACAGTAGGGGTTCATGCAGTACTTGATTGATCTGTGAAGAAATGGTCGCCTCACTAAGTAAATGACATTGATATTCATTTTTGGCCACACTTCACCATAATGAGCTGCAAAACGTATCTAGCCACTCAATGTTTGAAGTTTATTTACTTTGCATGAGTCATACAAACAAGGTTTCATTAAAATTACTTGGTGAGTTAACATTGCCCAAAATTAAAACCTTTTCAAAACTGAAATCCTCCAGTTCAGTTAAACTTGGGCTCTACCAGAACTTAAATTTGAATATTGAATGCTTTGTAAACATGCTTTGTAATAAATCCATACAATATGAATTCAATCTGTGAATGCTGTGGTCAGTGTAGACTTATAAGTTCATCTAATCAAAAATGGCTGGAATATTTTTATTGATACTTCTTTTAAGTCCATTTCAGGTTTTGTTTTTCCTTCCTGCTCAGTCGGCAGTGAAGATTCTTGCAGCAATGTCATCCAATAACCAGTCCACTCCAGATAACAGATTTTCTCCTGTCACTGCACTGCAATCAATGATGCACCAGTGATGACTTTTAATATCATCCAGGGCCAGTTCCTGTAGGATCAGACAATATAAACAGTGATGTTAACAGATAATTCAGATTTTATGACAAATACTCAGCTGAACTGCAAACATGCAATAATGTTATTGGCACAAGGCAACAGAGTTAGTGTTATTGTTGTTTTCATACTTCTCTAATGGCTTCTTTTGACAGAGCTCCAGGTAGATCCTGCTTGTTGGCAAATACTAGTAAAGTAGCTCCAGCTAACCTCTGCCAGTAGGAAATAAGGAGGAAGAGCAAATTATAGTTAACGTTTTGAAGAATAAACGTGTTACTGCAGCATGTTTAGCTGAAGCAGAGAATATTGACCTCTTCCAGCAGCAGTGTACTGAGCTCCTGTTTGCAGTCTTGCAGTCTGAGTCTGTCTGCACTGTCCACCACCCACACCAGTCCGTCTGTGCTCTCAAAGTAGTTCCTCCAGTAGGATCGCAGCGACTTTTGACCCCCAACATCCCACATATTTAATTTAAACCTTAAAAAACAAACAGAAGGATGTGAGGTCTTTCTAGTAGTGCAAAACTGGAAAGGTTGTTGTGCCAGTCTGTCTTCTGTCCTTGGGCTGTGGGACTTAATTTGTGTCATAACACCATACTGTGTAAAGTAAAACCACCGTCCTGGATGTAATGTGTATTTACCCTCTGTGCTCCAGTGTTTGGATGTTGAAACCAAGAGTGGGTGAAATGGTGCTGATGTCCTCGCCGTTAAACTTCTTCAGGATGGTCGTTTTCCCTGCATTGTCCAGACCTCTGCACGAACTGAGTTAAAGAATCCATTTTAATTTGCTTCACCCGTAATGGTTTATGTTGAACTCTTTTAAGTAAAGTAAAAAATTCGGCTCATTAAAACAACAAACGCTGCATTTAATGCAATTGCTGAAAACGTTTTCTTTTTAACGATGAAATTAAAGAAATTGTTGAATGGCAGCCCCAGGGAACCTTACAATGAATTTACGCCAGTTACATTCAATTACTTTCACCAACGAGCTAGATCATCGTTTTGTTGCTAGCATGATACAACACAAATCCAACCGCCAAACGCTGTCTGTATATGCAGATGTAGGGGGCGTCACTCTTCGGTTATTTAACGTTGGACCACAGACGACTAAAATTATTATTATATACTATAATAAATACATCAGAACGCCCATGCCACACCGTTTCCTGCTAAAGCTAATGAACAATTAGTCAGGATACAACATTAGAAGCCTCATCTCCCGCTCCTTCTGCTTCATCTTCTTTAAAATCGTCAACAGACCCATCGCTGTGCTGTCCTCTGCGTCCTATGTCTTTTAAAATAAAATATTTGAGATCTAAACTTAAAATGACAAAAGACTTTATGTATCCCTGGGCAGCATCGCAATACAGGAAGTGATCATTCTTGTTGTTCCGCCTCTAGTAGTCACCGATTGGTGATCCGAATGTAAGGCAATTTGATTGGTTGTAGCCAAAGTAAGGCCGCGACTCACTGGTCAGTGAGCGGTTTATAAGATGTGGTCGCGTTATGAAGAAGACGCTGTGTGGTTATCGTGTCTCTAATATGTGGTTTTGTTTTTGGTTGAATTGGGGAACTTAAAGATTGCTGACACACAAAATAATTATTTAAATGAATAACCGGCCAACTCAAAGTAAACTGGTATACAAGGGACCTGTGAAATGGGTTTACAAATGTATGCTTAATCATAATGTGATATTTAGGTGTCCAAATACACGAAAACTTATTATCAGTGGGTAAAATAAAAATAAATTAGAAATGTAATGCTGTGACTAAATTCACTAACTTAAAAAAGAAAGTACCAAACATGGAAAAGGGGGAATTTTGTCACGATTTTGCCTGCTGTACTAATCATTATGTTCTGTATATAATGAAGACGCTTGTTATACAAGTTATACATGCTTACTTTTTGGAACAGTTCCAGAGTCGTTAGGTCAAATCAGATGTAATGAACTTTGTTGTCTGCGTCTAAATGGATGCATTAACTAAGTCTCTGACGACATATATCGACAATTTGCTTAAAAATAATTTAAAAACTACAGTAGGTTATATATATGGTACAGTATATATACAGTACTGTAGATTCACCATACTGTAAACTATGGTGTCAATTTCCTTTCAACCAATTTTGTAATTTCTTACAGGGAACTGGTTGAAATATACTGCCTACTCTATTGGACCCGAGCCATTTACTCCCTTTACAAAAAGTTTCGACGGTTCCCATAAAGTAAACAGGGAACGTCAGTTTTCCTAATATGGTCATTAGTCACAGCGTCATAACGATTCCGCTTTCACATGGATACGTTAAGATACGTTTACGAAAGGGGCTTGGAATTCAACGCGCTGTCCGTAATTGCAGTCCCACGCGTTTGTGTGACAAAGAGCCGGTTTAAAAGAAATGGAAACTGAAAGTAGTAACAGCAACACGTTGTATCACCAGCCTAAATATACAGTCTTTCTCTTTTGGCTGCACATTTTCAGAAGCATTCAGTCAGCGCAGCAACAACCAGATATACCTCTGCAACAAGTGGAGAGTGCTGTCCTCGTCTCAAAACCCCCAGGACTAATTGACGGACCTAGTGGTTTGAGAATGCGGGTGGTGCTGTTGAAGTAGGATTCAGCTAAATGGTCCTCAAACTGATGAGGAGAGGGGCAGCGAGATGTCTCCGGTACTCATGGATGAGGAACTGTACAGTTCAGGAAGCTCACTGTCAGCAGAGGAGAACACCAGCAACACCACTGGATCTGTAAGTCCTTAGTCTCTAACTGATCAATTTGCATTCAATCAATTACTCAATCAGTATTGGCCATCTTGTTAGCTGGTATACCAGTCACTCATGAGGCTACAGTACAGTAAGACAAATACACTATTATTTAAAAAGGTTACTGTTGAAACACACAATGATTTCTCATAAAGAAATGTTATGTTACACAACATTGTAAGAATGTTTTGAGCAAAATTAAGAGGAGTTGTTCCGAAATTTTAAAATCATGTGCTTGAAGTTCCCTTTCCATTCATATGCAGGTCAGTTATTTCATTTTTGACCTGCTGGTTCAGACGATGAGGCATGTGACTTGTTATGGAAATGTTATTGATACATGTCTAAACATGTGGTCTAAAAGTGGTTTTGGAAGATGATGAAGATGATTTGAGCCCTTGTGCTGTGGTGAAGGTGGTCAACTCTTGTCTTGTACTACAGGAGGACAACTCAGGGATGAAAAGACGAGAAAAGAACAGGGACGCGGCCAGGAAAACCCGCAAGAAACAGACGGAGAGAGCAGACGAACTTCATCAGGTCTGAATAGTTCAGACTTTGTATTTTTGTTTTTAATTTGTTTTTTGTTTTTACACAGAAACCACAAACACACATTTACACACACACACACACACACAGGGGCACATCAGGTCAAATCAATTGTACAAGAATAAATGCTCAAAAGTATTTTTTATAACAGACCACACACAGGCAGTGTGTGGTCTTGTGTAATGTGGCAGTATGAGTACAGCTGTTTCTTGTAAATAGTTGGCTTTATCAGAAAGCCAAGGACTTCGGTCCTCCCTTTCCCCTTTCTCTCTCCCTCTCTCTCTCTCACACACACACACACTGATGTCTGCGTATTCATTTTGAATGAATGATAATACATTTTCACTTACATGACATAAAAATAACTTTAGTTTAACACTAAATATAGAAATTTCACTCTTTCTTCTGCTCCACTTGTCTTCTTTTAGGGTCTTTGTCCTCCAGGTTGTTTTGAAAGAATCCTAGCTACTGTTAGTTTGACCTCATAAAAGCAGAGCATGGCAAGTTGTAATTGGAATCATGACTAGTGTGTGTACATTCTTTATTTTATGTGTTGATTCTTGAAAGGTAAAACCTTTTTTTTTGCTACATTTTATCAGTTTATGTCTATGAAGATTCTCAGTCATCCACGTCATGGTCAAGGTTGAAGAGTTCTGTTAGGCAACTGGAGGTGAATTTTCTGAAAATTCATGTCCAGTTGGCTAACAGAACTCTGCAACCGTTATCAGTTTATGCAAGTTCAAGACATTATTGGTTAAGAATAGGAAAAAGTGGAAAATTGCCTGGTAATACAGTTCCAGGGAGGATGCATATTGAATAAAGAAAAGGCAGGGTGGTGACAAAATGAAATAAAAAAAATACAGTAAAGAGTAGGGATGTCTGATATGAACTTTTTGCCGATATGCCGATATTGTCAACACACCTCATTTCCGATTCTGATATCAACCGAAACCGATATAGCGGGGCAGTGGTGGAAGTTAAGTGTTGTCTGCTCACTAAGGTGATGGGTTAAAGCAGAAGGAGTTAACAGGGATTGAGGAGGCTTGGTGAAAGCGCGTGTGTATGAGGAAGAGAGAGTAGAGAGGGTATTAGAGGAGGAATTGGTGGTTTTGGAGAAGCTGTGTTAAGAGCAAAAAGGAGTTTAGAACAAGTTCCTGCAATTGTATCTCAATAAAAGTTCTTTAGAGAACTGAGGCATCTGACTGGACTGTCACCGGGGCATTGCACTATTTTTAGAGTAGTTATCATTTTGCGAAAGCCAGGCGTTACGTTATGGGGTTGTAACTATTCTTACAGATATTACAAAATATGCTTATATGATTACAGATGTAAACGGACATTCCTAGTAAAGAGTTAAGAATTAAAACTACACTATGGAGAGAGGCTCTAACCATTAACAATGACTTTGGCTAGAATACTACCACAGATTATTTTCACTTTCAGAATGTTAGTATAGAAGTAAACTGTGCAGTGCATGTACAAGGGCAGCTAGACCATGCTGAGATAATGAACATCGTGGTCATTGTCAGACACCTTCTCAATGCGAAAATCTGAAGAACAACTTTGGTTGAACTTGGAGACAAAGTGTCATGGGAACCAGGTTAATGCAGGCTTTTGGTCTGCCCCACAGAGATACAGTACATCTTTCCTGTTTTCTGATCTGCATTTAACCAAATAGTTTTGTGCTGTTGAAAGTGTAAACTGACAGCTGTGAATGACAACCTCTACATTTCTTTCTCATTGGTGTGAAAATGACTGTCCAGTAGTGTGTATTTTTTTTTTTTCATTTATGCTCACCTACTCTCAAATACGCTGTAGTTTTCTGCTGAAGCTGCAGTATTACCACTTGAGAGCGATATCTTGGTTTTCCTTTGCAGCTCTGACTTTGACCATACCTGATCTACTTTATGGTTTATAATCTCCATTACAGCTCTGCAGAAGTCTCTCACAGAAGAGTGTCATCTGCCTGCAGTGCTTTACTGCCTATAGTTTTTCATATGGGTCAGAGCTGCTCTAATATTGTGTAGGTTGAAAGCAATTACCTTTACTACTTTTCTGTAGGTGTCTGCCATTAATCTGTTTTTATGGCTGACGAGTGCCACTGTGATGGTAACTAAAGACGGGGTCCCTGATTAAATATGGCAGCAAAGGCATAGTTATATACATATATACAGTGTATATGTATATATATATATACATATATACATACAGTATATATATATATAACTATATATATATATATACAGTATATATATATATATATATAACTATATATATATAAAACCAGGATAAGACAGGAGAGACATGACCATGTAACAATCCAATTGTGCAATGACTAATTTCCCCCTGAATATTGTGAGACTATTTCAACAGACACAGGCAAAGTCCAGACAGCTTAATCAGTACTTTCATGCTGGTTCTAAGCTAATGAGCTAGTGCAGTGGTTTCTAAATTGGGGATCACCCCCCACCCCCCCCCGCCCCCAGTTGGGTTTGGCATTTTGCAGGAAATGAGATTGAATTAATACTTATTAATTTCTGCCATAGATATCATTTAATGATATTTGTTCATCAACAATGTCTATTTTACTACTTATTATATTCTTATTATTTACTACTTACCCTATATAACCACACATATTTTAAAAATTGTCATTTTCTTCTACTCCGTTTTAACATTAACCTTCTTTTCTGCAGGAACTTCAGCGCCAAGAACGAGCAAAGTCTGCATTACAAAAAGAGATCACTGCATTGAAGAAAGAGGTCCAACACTACGCCAAAATTCTTCAAAATCATGAACCTTACTGCCACCTGAGAGCCTCTCATTCTGCCTTCAGCTCTACGGCCTCGCTTCCAATCAAAGACCAGCTCAAGTCTATTCCTTGTCAATCTAACGTCCTGGCCTCAGACTCTCATTCTGCTGCTCTAATGTCAGTCTCTACCTCATCATTGTCCAGTAAAAACACGAATTTTGCAGGTGCTGATTCTACAGCTACAAAATTCTCCTCATCCTCTATTCCAACGGAGCTCACAACCTCCTCCTCGTTTACCAGCCCTGTGGCTCTGCCTTATCTTTCTGCAGCTTCACTACAAGCCTCTGTCTCGTTGTTTAACAAAGAGCCTCCAGAAATTTCCCTGCCAGAAGATGTGATCCATAAAACTGCTTTTATGTCAAGTGCATATTGTAATTCTGTTACTGTGGATGAAATTTCAAAGAAACAAACATCACCCAAGAATGCACCATCCAGCATCGAGGACTCATTTTCTTCTTTAGCAGGAAAAGGTAAAGGTGTTACAACACATGGTTCCTCTGAGAATGTTCCTCAGCTTTATCCAGGTTGGCACAGTGGGAATCTGAACATTACTGGTCCAATGACATCACTTCCTGATCCTCCAACCCCAACAATTTCATCTCAGATGAAGTTGGAGTCGTTTCCTATCCCTCCCATTTCCTTAAAGCCTCATTTCAAAGAACAATTGACTCCTGGTCTTTCCTTCCTCAGTGTCCCCTCTCATCCAAATGTGCTTGAGAATAATAACGATGGCTCTCAAGGACACCTGCTGTTGCCACGGTCAACACCAGGAGACCTTTCCTTCTCTGAATTTCTGGAGGGCAATGATTGGATCCTAAGTGAATCAAACAGTTATTAACACTACATGTAATTTGTCAAATATTTATATAATTCTGCAGTTGGATTGAGATGTACTGGTATAAACATCAAACAAATTTTGCAGCTATGAATTAGATTGTAATTTTATTAGATCCATAGATGATACAGTATTAATCCCCGACATTCAGTTCAAGGAAAAGTAAACCACGTTATTTACCGCTTATTAATAAATCTAAACACGGCTCCTTTCCGGTAGGGGGTGCTGTTGCTGCAGTAGGCAAAAAGCACGTAATATTTATTATTTGTGACTACTGATTATCAAATCACAAGCCACTTGCTGTTGTTGTAACTGTATAGCTGGTAAGCTGGCTAAAGTTGGGGGTTTGTGTGAACAGAAATAAACCCAGATTGGAATGATATAATTCAAATCAATCAAAGCATGTTCATCTCCTCAGGCCTCAAGACTTTCAGTGAATTTAAAGTAAAGTAACAGCTGTAGGAGATCAAATCAAACTATTTATTAGCTGTCTGTCCAGTGTTTCTCGGTCATTTGGTCACAGTTGAAATTAGCAGTTGAAACACTGTGACTGTGTCACTTTTCTTCCTATAAATATTACACAGAGAAGTTTCCATTCTTGTGCTGCAGCTACAAGGGAGCATTTAAAGGTAATGCACACTCATATTCCTTTGATTGTGATTTTGTGGGAACTAATACTTGAGTAATAGTGTGCAACGGGTCTAATGGAGGAAAACACCTGGTTGCAAAATGCTAATTTTAAGACCCTAATATCTAAATTTAAAAGTTGTATGGCAATGGTCGTTAAATATATAGACAGTGAATTCCAAGTGATCAGAGTCTGAATTGAAAATGTTATAAATCGAGTAAAGCTAGAGCCTTGATGTGACTGACTTAAATCATAATGTGCTACTTTGCTGTAGATAACTGATAGTCTTTTCTAGGTTTACTGATGACTAATGGCCACAGTTGTCATTTTAACTCATACTTTCTGGTGTTCGGTGGTTAAAGGATGGTATTGGTGTTGAAGTAAGTGACTAAAATGCAGCAGTGATTTTAGTTTTAGTGCTTTGTTCGCTCCCAAGACCGGTAGATGAAACCCATTACATGCACATCAAAAATGTGGATCTTGATTTTGTGTTTCTATATGTCTAAATGACTTAGAGCTTGAATTTTAAGCAGGCACCAGTATAGTGATGACATAACATATCTTTGTTCTGACGGTTATGGCACTGGTCTATGTTCAGAGAATATTAGAATTATCTTCATATTTATACAATATCTATTGGGATTCAGCCGGTCTGAGAAAAGAACATTTTTAATTGTCATGCAATCGATTAAATACATTGTGCTATTATAGCAACTGCAATAAAACTGAATCATAAAATAAAAAAATAAAAAGCAGGTCTCTGGTGGTGCCTTTACTTCTTTAGAATTGCTGTTAATACATCTGGTAGAAATCAATTATTGTAAGGCTTAGTCTAGTACATGATGCACATTAAACTGAATTTATGCTTATTTACATCAGAACCATGGGGACACTGTAATCTCCATACCTGCACTTACAGTACATTATATTGGAGGACAAAACCTATAGATAATGCTGTTATAATATTTCAACATGGAGCAATTTTGTTAAATCTCATCTTATAAGGACATACACGTTTTCAAGATTCACAAAGATCACAGCGTTTTTCAATGTGGGGACAATGTTCTTTGGGTGTCATCCCTCTCCCTTCTTCGAACACGGGCTGCATGCAGCCCTTTTTGTATCATTACATTCCTGGTGACTACAGATGCAAAGCATCATCACTCCGTCACAGCATCCAGTAGGGGGAGGAAGAGGAGAATGTGGAGCGAAACATTGCATGTGGTGTTTTAAGTCTGGAGTGTTTGTGGTAGGGCAAGCAGGAGGAAGAGAGAGAGGAGGGGGTTACAGACACTGCCGTCCAAAGATGTGATTCTGAGAGGAGAGACAATCTGAGAATATCTTAGCTGTACCAGGATAAAGAGAGAGAGAGGAAGGGAAAG